ACTGGGTCTGCTTTTCACAGAGTTGTCCTGGAGCTTTAAACATTTTATTGCTTTCAAGAGGTTGCCAGATGCAATTTTGATGTTATAATCGAAGGGAAATCTAAGCCTGCCCAATTACTTGGAAGTGGTCAGAGGAAAGTGGGCAGGTGCTGTCCTTTCCCGGAGGCAGCAGGGAGGTTTCTGGGATGTAGCAAGAAGAAAGCCTTGGCCCCAGGGCATCTGGAGGACTGTGGGATGTGGAAGAGGGAGAAATGTGTCCATTCACCTGTTATTCTTCTTCCAGCCTCGGCAGGGGATGCCTTGGGCTGGTGATGCAGTGGAGTGACCGACCACTCGGTGGAGTAAGGAGACCTCGGAATGCCAGGGGAACACGCTGGCCTTGGCATCTGCAACCCTGGTGCTGGCTCTGAAAACACCTGGGAATATTCGTTTGATCCTATGAATTCCCAGTGGAATCAGCTTTATGGGAATGGCCACAGAGGATTGTTTATTTTAGCTGTAACTTCGGGAGAACAGGTAGTTTGGTCTTTGTATGTGTGTTGTAAGAAGAAACAAATAAGGCATTAATGTGTTTGCATTTAGTGCAGTTGCTCTCTAGCTGGGCTCATCTGACAGAATTTTGCTCATGCCTAATTCATAATCTGATAAGAATGTTGTTGAAATCAGGGAAGACCATTCATACTGTGTAAAATTAATCCAGTAAAACTTTTACAAGGTTTACTGGATTAATTAACTGGTCCTATAGCATCAAGAACATTTCAGAGGAAGATCCTTGCTTGTAGAAACATTTTTCCAAAATTTCTAAGTTTTGTTCTTGCTGTTTAACTTTTTATAAAAGAAAATTAGATTAGAGGAAAGGTAGTAAAAAAAAATCAAGTATCTTGCTTCTGTTCCAAACTTAATTAAGCTAGTCTGAAAAAACTCCATTGCCTCTTAAGTAATATTTTTGAGTTCTCAGGGGCATATTATTTCTGCCTGTTACCTGATGTTTGTGACATTTAAAGAGAATGTCCAGTTGACCAAGTACATCTGTTACATAGTTAATCAGAGCAGTCAATGGGAAACAGGATTTGATTCAAAATACCATAAGACTATGAGAAGCCAAATATTCAAGGAGGGCTATATTGTGTATAGCATAAAGAGAAATTGTACTGTGAAGCTGTTCTTAGGGGCTGGGCCTCTGGATGTGGGTGGAACACAACCAGAATTGCAGATAGGGCCATCAGCCCTGGGGAGTGCCCTCCTTTGACAGTGTTTCTGACACCAGATTGCAATTTGCTATGTAAGTGGAACTGACATTGATGGAAAAGCAGATGATTGTAAAGAAATCCTGCAAATGACAGCCAGGGCCTGTGGTATGCAATGAAATATTTCCTCTTGAACTATTTGTTCATGCAAATATGGTAGCACCACCACTAGTCATATTTCAAGTTCTAGAAGGAAACTAGAGTGGCAGTATGTAAAATATTTATTTTACATAATTTATGAATCAAATGAAGAAGTTGCAAAGTACCTCTGATTAAATAAGTAGTTATATATACCAGTAAGGAAAAATAGCCCACTGGTACGTGCCCTACCTAGAAGTGGAGAAGCAGGGATGAGCAAGGAGCAATGCCAGCTACACCATTGAACTAAAAAACAACTTCCTGGATTCAGCCCTAAAAACTTCACCTTGGCAGAGCAGCTGCCCAGCAAGTGGGTGGAAAGTGTTTGGTTCACTGTCCTGATTTTAGTCCCCATAGGACACCCCCAGCTTTAAGCTCACAGACCTTTACTGACAGCATCTCTCATCCCAATTCTCTCGTGTTCAGTGCTATCAAATCATCTCCCAGCTGTCAGATATTTGCTCCACATATTCAGCTGTCTGTAATGACAGCTTCTACAACCTCTCCAGATCTCTTATCGGCTTCATTCCAGTGCTTGCTGGTACTCAGGCTGTCTGTGGCAGTTCTTGAACTTCAGCTCTAATTTCCCAAACCATAGTGTCTAAACTAAAATCTTCTTCCCCTGAATCTGCCCCTTCCAAGTTAGTGCAAGACTGACACAGATTTTAATGATGACAGTTTTGATCTAAATCCATGTTGCCCCTTACTTGCATAGCTAGACCAAGTTACATCTTCCAGCAGAGGATAAAGGAGAGTCAGTGGAAATTAACTGGATTTCATGAAACTGAGCTCAACCCCTCTGAGGGGTGAGAACTGTTCCTCTGGTCATGACAAGCAGGAATATTCCTTTTTTTTTTTTTTTTTTTTTTTTTTTTTTTTTTACCCTACTACAATATTTATTGTGACTCCACTTCTCAGGCTGGGCCTGCACAGCTGCCCACCTGCACACAAAAAGGGGAGTCAGAGCAATCTCAGCAAAGACAATCTCAGCAAACGAGGTGGGGCAGTGACACAGATGTGCTCTGAGTCTTTGAAGAGGCTGAACTGACTTCAGAGCAGTCAGACTACTCCAAGGGCTATCAGCTCATAGATTTTTGAATAGGTGTCCCCCAGGGGTGTGCTGAGCTCAATCCCCATAGAACCTGAAGAGTTCAAGGGTCTCAAGATAAAAGCTAAACATCCCCACATCTCAAGAATCCTGCTCTAACTAGACAGCTTCAGCAAAGATTGCTGATCAAATATTCTGCTTCCCTTTTTCCTTTCACATCTCCTCATATCTCTTCAGAAATTCTTTGCTTCCCAAGGTTCATATCTGATCTCCACCCTTTGATTTTTTTTTCCCCCCAGACTGGAAAGAGCGTTTAGTACATCAATGAGGGAAAGGAGAACTCTTCCATTACTTTTTTGTAAGAAATAAAGGAAGATCAAAGTGGCAGAGGCTCTGGAATCAGCTCCTTATCTCTCTGAGGGTGGCTATGTGGGGAATTGTATTGCTGTCACTGTGTTGTTGATTGACAACTGATTTGCAAGCTCCAGGGCTGTCAAGCTAGCCTCTTTCCAAACCTTGAATTTGCACATAAAGGGGATGAGACTCGTGCTCAAAGAAATAAAACTTCCTGAGAACACATTGGTTTCTACAAAAGAGATAAATTTGAGCAGATTGCTCTAATCATGGAATTTTCAGGGTTGTTAAGGGCCATATGGACCTCTCCTACTGCAAGAAGCAAATGAATGGATACTGTCTCGATTCAAAACCTGCTTCACTTACATGGTCATTTTAGTTGGACAGCTTTATCAATCACCTACAGGATGTCACTCAGTGATTGATGGTCACCTGCACTCAGCACCTACAGCAGGAAAGGAGTGCTGGCAGAGGCACTGAGTGCCTGAGCCCGACTCAGCCAGAGCTCCTTCCTCCCCAGGAGCTGGACTCGTCATGCCTGGTCTGAGGCACGCTGCAGAAACCAGAACCACCCCTGCTCTCCCCTCTGATAGCTCACAGCTGTGGGCTTCGAATGCAGCCTTGAGAGGAAGAAAAGGGGCCGAGCAGAGAGATCAAATTGAAACCCAGCCATGGAGCACAGCAGATGCAGGCGGCTCTAACGAGGAATCCTGCAAAGGCAGGGATCTCCTTTCGTTCCCGCTCGGTCTGATTAAAGCGGGGCCGGGCAGTATCAGCGCCCAGCCGAGCGGAGCCCCTTGCCAGGCTCTGCCCGCCCGCTCCTCCTGCTTCCCTTAACTGTGCCTTAATTCTCCACACGTGGCTTTTTCCCTCTAGCCTGGAACTCTTCAGACCAGGCTTTTTCTAAGAAAAACTACTGCAGTGTGACTCGTGTTTTATACGGTATGGAGAAGTGAAGGGGCTGCACCGGGTCCGTCCGCTGTCGCAGAGCCCGGGGGATGCCAGAACAACTGCGTCCCGGGCTGCTGGTGCTGTCCCCCTGTCCTCCTGCCTCGCTCCCTGCCCGTTCCCTCGCTCCTCGGGCGGCTTCCGTGCCATCGCCGCAGTTCCCACGTCCCGTCCCACTGTCCCCCGGTCCCGGTGTCCCCCCGGTCCTCCGGTCCCCGTCCCCCTGTCCCCGGTCTCTGTGTCCCCGGTCTCTGTGCCCCTGTCCCTGTCCCCGGTCTCTCTGTCCCCGTCCCGTGTCCCTGTCTCCGGTCTCTGTGCCCCTGTCCCCGGTCTCTGTGTCCCCGTCCCCTGTCCCTGTCCCCGGTCTCTGTGTCCCCGTCCCCTGTCCCTGTCCCCGGTCTCTGTGACCCCGTCCCTGTCCCTGTCCCCGTCCCCTGTCCCTGTCCCCGGTCTCTGTGTCCCTGTCCCCGGTCTCTGTGCCCCCGTCCCCTGTCCCTGTCCCCTGTCCCTGTCCCCGGTCTCTGTGCCCCTGTCCCCGGTCTCTGGGCACCTGTCCCTGTACCCGGTCTCTGTGTCCCTGTCCCCGGTCTCTGTGTCCCTGTCCCCGGTCTCTGTGACCCCGTCCCCTGTCCCCTGTCCCTGTACCCGGTCTCTGTGTCCCTGTCCCCGGTCTCTGTGACCCCGTCCCCTGTCCCCTGTCCCTGTACCCGGTCTCTGTGTCCCTGTCCCCGGTCTCTGTGCCCCCGTCCCCTGTCCCTGTCCCCGGTCTCTGTGTCCCTGTCCCCGGTCTCTGTGTCCCTGTCCCCTGTCCCTGTCCCCGGTCTCTGTGCCCCCGTCCCCTGTCCCTGTCCCCGGTCTCTGTGACCCCGTCCCCTGTCCCTGTCCCGTGTCCCTGTCCCTGTCCCCTGTCCCTGTCCCCGGTCTCTGTGACCCCGTCCCCTGTCCCTGTCCCGTGTCCCTGTCCCCGTCCCCTGTCCCTGTCCCCGGTCTCTGTGTCCCTGTCCCCTGTCCCCGGTCTCTGTGACCCCGTCCCCTGTCCCTGTCCCGTGTCCCTGTCCCTGTCCCCTGTCCCTGTCCCCGGTCTCTGTGACCCCGTCCCTGTCCCCTGTCCCTGTCCCCGTCCCCTGTCCCTGTCCCCGGTCTCTGTGACCCCGTCCCGTGTCCCTGTCCCCGTCCCCTGTCCCTGTCCCCGGTCTCTCTGTCCCCGTCCCGCCCGGCCCCGCCGGGGCCTCCCTGCTGCCCGCGGCGCCCCCTGGCGGCGGCCGCGCCTCCCTCAGCGCCATCCTCCAGCTCTGCCCTATTGTTCTCCCGCCCGTCGCTCCCTCCCTCCCTCCGCCGGGGCTCGCGTCCTCCCTCCGCTCTCCTCCATCCCTCCCTCCATCCCTTTCTCCTCCTTCTCGCCGTCGCTCCCGCCCCGCTCCCCGGAGCTGATGTCACGCACCCGCTGAAGGCGCGGGCGATCATGGCTGCTGCGGCCGCGGCCGTGCCGCCGGCCTCCAGCTAATGCCCGCGATGGAGCCGGCCAGCCTGCTGCGGTTCCTGCGGAAGCTCAAGGAGGTTTTCGATGTGTGCGATGAGGATGCGGACGGCTTCATCCGAGTGGAGCACTTCGTCGCCCTGGGGCTGCAGTTCGGCCAAGGGGATGAGGTGAGTGCGGCGGCTCCCGGCCCCCACGCAACTTTCACCTGCTGTGAGTGCCCCGACCCCGCCCGGGCCGCCCGTCCCCGCCCGTCCTCACCGCGGCTCCGTGCCTGCGGGAGCCCCAGCTTCGTGCCCAGGGCAGCCCGGTCCGCTCCTTTCGGTGTGGCTCGGGCTCCCTCCGTTCACCGGGGGGTCCCAGAGCTCTCCCCTTGGCGGCCTGGAGCCCCTTCCCTCAGGGCCGCCAGCCGCCTTCCCCCTTTCCGCGGAGCCCTCCGCAAAGACAGCCCGGCTCCGTCTGTCCCCAGGGAGCATCCCCCATCCCTCGGGGCAGCCTTGACCGCTCGGCTACAGGGAGCGGCCGCTGTTCCTTTCGAGGAGTGCTTTTTATTCCGGGCTCTGCCCGTCCTGGCCGAGCTGGGCTCGGTGGGGCACCGGGAGCGGCGGCAGTGCGGTGCCGGCGGTGTCTGGATAGCGACGGAAGCACCTGCCCGGGAGCCCCAAAACCCGGGGATGGGCTGGGGGAGCTTGGGCTCCGTTCATCCCTGCCTCCCTCCAGCCCTTTGGTGACACAGCGTAAATCTGGAGTCGCGCCACCGGTCTCGGCGGAGCGTTGCGTCAGTGGGACCGGTGTAAATCGTGACATCAGTGAGATGGCAGTGGGATTCGGGCCAGAGGCAGTGAGGGCAACGCCATGCGCTGGTTGGAAACAGTTCCCTTCCGTGATTCCATCCAGGGCTGCAGCTCCAGCGAAATGAACCAGCAAGAAACGCTTTCCTCGGAGAGCTCTCGGGATGTTACACTGTACTGTTCAATGCCTCACCATGTGCCCCAGCAACTTTGGGTGCCAGGGGGAGGAGTGAAGTTGGGACTACAATGGGGTTCAAAAAACCAGTGTCAAACAACCTTTTAGACTACAATAAAACAAATTAATGTGAGGAGCTAATGAAACGGTGGTTTATAGAGGGATGCCAAAGAGGAAGCAAAGCCAGAGTGAATTCAAGTAATTGTTGGAGCGAATAGCATATTTCTAGCTTGCCACTTGTAATGAAACACATCTTGTGAATTAAATCAGGAAATCAGTAGACAGAAGGCTTATTACTTACAGATAGTCACAGGTCTTAAACATTTTCTTAATGAGAAGCTTCAGTTTGTGGTTTTAACAAGCAAAATAAGTAGAAATGAGTAACTGTAACAAGTTTTATTGATTTGGGGTTTATTTGTCTCTTGTATAATTTTATAGAAACTAACAGAAGTATTTTTAAATCCTTATTGCCAGATAAACTGCATCCAAATTGCTTTTTGTGTTTATTTGGAGGCAGAGCAGTGGCTTTCTTGTGCAGCACTGAGGAAGACTGACAACATTCCACTGGCTGTTTTGCAGTAGGATGACACTGATGGTCATAACAATCCTTTTTGGTTTCAGAAACTTTCAGGTTGCAAGAGTGGAGTGGGTGTTCTGTGAGATGCTACAGAGGGTTTGGGTGATGATCGCATAAGCTCAGAGTGAATTGGAGTATATGAGCAGAAAAATATTTAAATGGAGAGAAAGAGAAAGCTGGAAATTCCAGTAAAGACAGCACTAGAAAAGTACCAGTTGTCAGTGATAGTTTCAGGATGGGCTGCCTTGCTGGGTGGGCACAGGAGAGAGTGCCAGTGGTGAGAAATGCTTGCTTCCTATTTCATTCAGTTGTAACTGGCAGTGTTTCATAAAATGTTTGTAAAACTGGGACAGAGAAGTTTTTTCTTCCTATCTTATCTACCTATATATCATGCCTCTTTATTTATCAGTGTTACAATATAACTTTTTCTGGTTTACTTCCCCGTGCCCAGTGAAGTTGGTGCTGGAAGTCCCTTGACTTCAAAGGAGCAGCTGAGTGAATGGGATTTGTAAATCACCAAAAGAGGTTTGCTAGTGAAATGCAGAATCAGTTTTCCAAGTGCGGATTTACTCCAGAGCAACCACTGCAGGTGAAATATTCTAGTTTAAAGGCTTGTTAAAAATTAACTTTTTGTATGATGAATCACAGTTATATTCGGAGATGGGGAGAATATACTCTCCCAAGTAACACAGTGCTTTCTACCTTGCATCTGCAGGAACCTACCAAGTTCTGTGTGAAAGTGCATCTCATGAAATTAAACTGAGGAGACACAGGGAGCAGATCCCTTTAACACATTAGAACATATATACTGTCAATGAAAATTAATTATATTTTTGATTATGCTAAAATTCTTGGGCTTCATCCACCTGGGCTCCCTCTACAGTCAAAAGAAATTTTTCCATTGGCATAAATGAAAGATTGATTTGCCCTCATGTGCAATCAAATATAAACAGAATATTATTCTGTTTATAGAGTTCATCTAGCCACAGGAAGGGTCCTATTTTGTAGCACTGTGTACTGAGTAATTCTGATATTTACCAACAGTAGCCTGGGATCATGTCTATGAAATGAGGGAGTATCTGTCCCTTCAGTTGTCATGAAGGGCACACAGATTTCCATCTCTTCTCTACCTCCTTAGAGCCACCACCATCCAAAGTTTGAAGTCTACAAATTCTTAATACTAACTTCAGTAGGGTTTGTAGGGCATTTAGCCTTTTCTGGGTTCTTTCTTCTTCTTCTTCTTTCTGTTTTCTTTTTCTTTCTTGTGTGTGGTGTGTAGTCAACATGCTGAATTTTATTATTCCTGAAAGATAACAACTCTCTGAAAACTGCCCCAAGGCAAAATCGTTGCAGCAAGGCAGCAGCATTCCCTTCAAGCAAAGCACTCCTTACCCACACAGTCAAAATAATAAACTGTAATGTTTCTGGTTAACTTTTTTTTTTTCTATTTTATTTTAATGGGCTTTTGAAACCTCTGCTTCAAATAGGTTCTAGCAAGTTTGCTTGCAAGCTTTTGCTTCGCCCTGCAAAGAGTGTGGTTCAACTAGAGGACAAAAGGATTTGATTGTATTGATTTAGCAGAGCCGGGAACAGAACCAGGTCTCTAAATTCCTGAATTTAGAGCAGACCTGACTGGCTGGCAAGCACTGCTTGCATATGCAAACAGCTGTGGAACTTTTACTTTTAGGCAGTTGGGCATTCTGGCCTCTGTTCATCCCATCTGACTGTGGCCATCTAACTGAGGTGTCTCCATCAGTCTTTCTCCGTGGACATTGATGAGCAATTGAGCACTTAGAGGCTGTAACAGGACCAAAGGATGAAATAAATCCCTCAGAGATGCTTCTTTGTCTCCTGGACAACAGAAACTCCTAGCTGAGAATTCTGCTTCTGTGCTTGGGTCTGAATTTCCTTGTCAATGGGGTGTTTGCCGTAGAAATCTGAAGAAAGACACCAAGGGCTGTTTCCAAAGCGACCTGACGGGATGGCATGTGCTCACTAGCTAAAGAAACACTTCACATAACACTGAGAAATGCCAAGAGTCGCTCACCATCTGGTTCCCTTTCACTGGGAAAAGAGTTGCAGTACAGTCAAGTGTCTGGGAGCATTGTGAGTGACACCTTCGGCAAGCCCCAGTTCTGGCAGCGGATTGTGTGAATGTGTATTTCAGGGTAGTGCCAGTTGATGTTTCATTATGCCAGATTCTACTTAAACTCCACACTCAGTTTTCAGCAACAAGTGAAGCAAGCTGTGCGCGTTGACAACTTCTTTCTGACGCAGGTAAACACCTTTTGGAGGTGCAAACCATGCAGGTGCTCACACAGTCATTTTTGTCATGGTGAGATCTGCTCATTGACTTGAAGCAGTGTCATAATTGAAAGGGAGCTTTAGCAGCTAATAAAATGTAAAGGCCAATATCAATTATTCACATGAGTGGACAGTAACTCACTTAAAGCCAATGGTTTACTAGTGGTGCAGAACAGAAATAGCCGAAAGTGAGTTCACATATTTCTCATGAACTTCTTGAACTCATGAATTTCATGAGTTTTTCATGAACTCATGAATTTCTTAGATGGAAATTTCTGGCCCAAAAGAACTGTTACAGGGAGATGTTTGTTGACAATCATCTTTGTCAGTTTCAATCATCAGCCCCATTCAGGGCTGAAGTTAAAGGCATCAACCCCAAGTGCTGTCCCAGCAGTGGATTGTGGCTGTGGCTGGGTTTAATGGCACTCCTGGTGCTTCCTTTTGACTTGCTATCAGACGCCTCCCAGGAGCTGAGGCTGTCATGCTCCAAACAGCCCTTCTGCTGTAACCACTCCAGAAGTAGCTTTTTCCTGTAATTTCAGGACTGTGATTTCACTGCCTGATAATCCAGAGTATTTCTGAGGAGTCTGGGTGAATTTCAGGCTCCTGGCTGTAATGTTGCAGCTCAGAGTTGCACCCAGAAATTGAAGGAATCAAAATTCCTGTCAGTGTGCGCAGTGACAGAATAGCTCATACCTTCTTGATAATGTGAGTCTGCAGCCATGAGAAGAAGAGACTTTGGCACTGAAATGTGGAAGCAAAAGGGTGTTATCAAGTGATACTGCCATTCTTATAAGGGCATACTTCTTTTCCTGGAAATAATTACTGAAAGAAAAAATAAAATATTTGCCTAGACAGTATCAAGGATACAAAGAGCAGTCCCATGTGACAGTGTTTTCTAGGCAGCAGCAAGGCTGCCATGCATTCAGATTCTTTTAAACTCTGTTTGCTAATGACCCAGATGTTTAATGTTATTTACAGTGACTGGAAAAAAATAGAGTTCTGAAGTGGAACAGTGGGGTACTCAGTTTATGGATTAGTCAAGGTACAGCCACTGTAGCTCCCTAATTCAATACAAACTAGCAGTGAATATGTTTAAAATAGCCTTTTGGTAAATGCTGAAACTAAGCGTGTATTTCTAAACAGCTGACATAAAGCAAGCTTGGTATTTAGTGCTAATGAAACGTTTGCCAAAGCAGTGGTGGAGAGAGGAGCTGTAGGTTTGCTGTGCACTCATGAGTTTAATTCGTTATGTAATGTTTGCATTTCAAAGGTAAGAACTCTGAGGGGTACAGCAAGAATTGATGCATGTACAGCTAAGAA